AAGCGCCGAAATCTGCCTTCCCCGGGGCAGCGGGGCCGCTGAAAGCGAAGGCTGGGCGCGCCATCCATCCTACAGCAACAATTGCTTTGCAGGTGCTCGGTCTGTCTCAGCCTCCATCCCCCGGGAAGCAGGCAACACTTTCCACATTCCCAAGTTAAGGTTGATGCTAGTAAAGGTTTCATTTTCCTGCATCTCTATATTACTCAAATCTAGACCACGTATATGAATTCACAGCACAGAAGCTCTCATCCAATGAAGAATCCAGGCTCATATATTTGCTACAGATAAAATCTCATTTTGGCAATTCATTCCCTGTTGGAAGGCTGGAAGTGTCACAGCTCGGCTGCTGCTTCTTTGCAGGGGAATGCTGTTTATGTGGAAAAGTGTTGCTTGCACCCAGACATGCTGCAAAAGCACTGTGTGGGGCTCTCTTTGCAGAGCTGTAAGCCATGCCTTCATTTGCTGAGCATCCGTGCCATGGCCTTCCTACTTTCACCTCCCTGAATGTCTCAGAACCCATACCCTGAAGATACTGTCCTCTCCCCAGCAATTTAGAGAATACAAGCATGCAGTGAGCACATGAGTATGACAAGTCAGCTGTGTGGTCACAGTGCTCCTTTTGCAGCATTTCTGCACCTGTGTTATTAACTCAGGTAGCTCAGACTCTTCAGAGATTTTCATATTCATGCTGATTTATATTTCTAGTCTATTTTATAGGACTTCTTCATTGTTAATAATTTTTTCTTACCACCTTCTATGACCAATTTCTGTAATAGCATTTCTGGAATACAGTTAGGTTTCCCTGAACAAATAGCTAAGGGCAGATGAGGTGCTTTCAAAGCTCCCAGAGAATACTTGTTTTTATATGTCCCTTTCCAAGTTAGGTTTGCTGTTATTCAAGCACAAGCTCAGGACTGAAGCTATTCAAAGTACTTTCAAAATAACCACATCCATGAACATGCAAGCAGTTGGGCTGTAGACATCCAAGAAGAGAACAGATGGCCACTAATGTGGTCAATTTTGTTCCAAACTGTCATTTAGGAAGTGAGTTTTTAGGCACCTGAGGCTTCGTCATGCCAAGAGGATGAATATTCCCAGCTTGAGATGGTGTAAAGATACCAGTTTCCTGAGTATTCAGCCACTAGAAAAAAATCCTGTAGGGGGTTCTGTGAGAGAAGGACTGAAACCCAGAACCCCAGGAAGATTATCCTGGTTATTTTCTTGATCTTCTCAAGTCGTTCTGTAAACCTGAGAGTAAAGGCTAGGTCCAGAAAAAATGATACCCTGTCACCCCAAACCACCAAATGGCTGAGGCTGGGTTCTTCACACCAAACACTGGTAGAATTGAGGTGGTGATCCTGCTAGAATAAGAATTTCAACATCTTCCTTCCAGCTGCCTCACAAAACCTAGTGCCCATGGTGTTCCCCTTCATCCCCCCACAGGTGCAGCCAGCACCACCAGCTCATACCTCTGTTTTTCTCAGCTCAGTATTAAGCTGTTTTCCTCATTCCTATTTTCTTGAGGATTCAGATTGTTTCTTCTGGCCTCAGAAGGACTTGCAGTGGCCTTTTATTTCACAGTAGGATGTTAAGAAGCCTTTCTTTTTGCCTGTGTCTATATGGGTAATGAACCAAAGGAGGAGAAGAATTCTCACCTGTAAAAAAAAGATCAAGCTCTGTCTAGGGCTAGCCCCCACAAAATGGCTCTGCAGATTATAAATGATACAATGCCTGTCCCCACAATGCTGTCCTAAAGGCTATCTTGGAGGATTTTGGGATCCAGGCCAGGTTAGTTAGCATTCAGAGTCTTCTGACTCAGGACTTTGACAGATACACTGCAGCAAATGAAAAGGTGTCTGACTGACTGGGAGAGGACATCTAACCTGTGTGCAGCACTGAAATGTGAAAGCAACAAAAGGTACTCAAGGTACCACGGGTTTGGGGATAAATAATTTGAACAAAATTTCCTCTGAACTTTAGAGCTTCTGAAATTACAGTTTCTGAAATTCAGGACAAGGAACAGAACACAAAGCTGCACATTAGAGTTTCCCAGAACCAATCCCCCCCAGGCAAAATACACAGTTTTTTCATGCAGCTTTTTCAGGCAAACTATTGTTAAATAAGACTAAGATATCAATTTCTCCACATTTCAGCATCAGTCAAGCTTTGCACAGAGATTTGTCCCATAATGTCTCCTGACAAGCACATAATGTACAAACAAATCTCATCTAATTCCAGTGTGTAAGCTGCAAAATTACTAAGACTGGAAGTCATATTCTTGGAAAATTACTTTGTGGTGAAGTAATGTTATGTCAAACACAAACCTATTTGTCTGGACTCAGCTCAAACTCAAGGTTCTCCATGGCCAGCCTACCCCTGACATTCTTCTCAATATCTTTCAAGAGAGCAACTGGCATTTTTGGGTCTGGCTTTTCCAATCAGTGACTAGGTATAATTTTCTGTATAAACCTTCTTTTTAATTTTTATAACCCATTACTCTAGAACTTCTGGAAAGTATTTTTTTTTCCTTGACTGGCTTTTGCTCAAATCAACTGACTTCTAACATAAATTTGTGGTATTGAACTTTCTGTATTTTTTTTTCCTGCAGAAGGTCAAATTAATTAGAAAAATTGGAAGTATGCCAAATGAAAATTCATATAGCAGGTGGGCTTTACCTATGATGTATTTTCAGAAAATATTGGTTATTGACATTATTTCTAATTCCTATAGGCTGTATCTGGATCTTGCTTCCAGCTTAACAGGAATTGAAACAGCATGACTCAAAGAGCCAAATATAATTCAAAACAAGGAAAGATCTCATACAAAGGTCTACAGAATAAACAGAGCATTGGTTGTTATGCTCTGGTAAATGTGTAAAGATTAACAGGAAACATTTAATATCTACTATACTGAGCTTTATTGGAAGAAAAAAGACATACTTCTGTTTTGCCCTTTTGCTCTTCATTCTAAAATTTTCGTTCTTTAGGATAACAGTCAAAAAACCCATAAATTTTGAAGTGAGAAAGGAGACACCAAAGAAGATAAAAGTTCTGTCCGTTTCTGTCTACTCAGGAATACCAAAAGTTATTTTTACTTTTTCTGTTGTTTTTACCTGTAGGCTGACTCAGAGTATGGCTGCTCTCAGCCATGGCTGCAGTACAGAGCACACACACTGGAACTCCCTTTAACCTGGCTGAGCAGTGCAGGCACCTGAACTGTGTAGCCATGGCAGCACAGAGCTCTGAGTGGCCTAATTACTCTGCCAAGAAATAAATGGATACTGGCAATTCCCTGGAGAAAAAGAGGTTGAATTGTTAATAAAAAGAGTTTCCCCTGAGGCACACTCGTTAAATAGGTGTTAGCAAGAGCCAGAAAGCCTCCAGTTCTAACCTTACAATAAAAATGTCTTTGTCCTTTGGCACTTTTGATGTCCCAGCCTTCCAATTCTCCCACTGTCTACAGATACAAAAGAAAGATGTGATTGCAATATCTGATGGAAAACGTGAAATAAAGCAAATTATCCTCACCCCCAACTAAAATCTATAAGTAAAATCACCTTAAAAAGACAAATACAGGAAGTTTCTCCTTTCTGGAAACATGCAGAGCTCTCCTGGCAGCAGTGGGGTGGAGTTGCTTGAGCATCCTGCTTCCCTAGGACACACGTCAGGGTCAGCCCCCGAGGAGCAGGGGCACCTCTCCTGTTTACTGTGCCTGGGAAAATGGCAGGGTATGTGTGGGGAAGACCAAGGAGAAGAAACAAATGAAAGCAAGATTTAGGGGAAGGGAATTGATTCTGTTATCTCTTCTTCCACCAATCTTTACTCATACACAAGAGTGGACGTGTATAGAGAAAGGTGAAGGGATTTTAGCAATCTGCTCACTTTCTTACAAGCTCAAAATACACCCAATATTTTTTTCTGAAACTGGAGCCCAAGACTTCAGACTGTGCACACACAGTCTTTTATTTCACAAGTTGGATCTATCTATGTAGACTCTGAGCTAAATCAAATGAGTAAAATCCACATTATTTAGCTGAAATTGCCTTTGAGGTCAATGCAAGTTTAACTAGTTTAAGTACAGAGATGTAAAGTCATTTCAGGAAACATACTGGCTTTCTGCATGTGGAGACCTTAGAGAGTTTTGCCAAATCACAATCTGTACACTTGTGCGAAGTCTGACAAAATGCTGTTTGCAACAACTGAAATTTCTGTTTTGAGGAGACAGAAAGCAGGAAAATTGTGAGTCTGCTGTCTCAAAACAGAGGCCAGTAAGTGAATGGTGTGTAGAGGCTAATAGTTGCAATTTTATCACATTAATTTAAATGTGAAAAAACAACAGGACACTTCTAAAATCCAAGCTGGTTTTCATTTTCAAATGTTCATATGTTACAGCTCAGATGCATGCACCCCATTTAGAGCTAACCACACTGATTTCATATTTCTATGCAGGCAAAGAAGCAATAGAGGTGAAAATCCCACAGAGCCACCAGGATGTGATGCCCAAGGATGAGCAGTAATTACTGCAGCAACACTTCAGCCAGTATGAGTGTCAACGAAATGTCTGCCTTCCCTCTGACTTTAGAACAAAAAACTGGCTTTGCCTTTGTGGGGATTTTGTGTGTTTTCCTGGGACTTCTAATTATCAGATGCTTCAAAATCTTGCTAGACCCCTACAGCAGTATGCCTTCTTCCACATGGGAAGATGAAGTTGAGGGGTTGGATAAAGGAACATTTGAATATGCTCTTGCATGAAAACTCACAGAATATCCTGCCTTAAATTTGATGTTGATTTCATTTTAGAAACCAACTGTTGTTACATTTGTTATACATACCTGCATTTTGGAGATATGTTGGTGGCATCCATTTTGTTAAATAAATATTTGTTGCAAACTCAAAAGGTACTTCATGTTGCTTTTATTTGATCAACAGTGGAATGGTAGATAAAAAATGGCTAACAGCAAAAAAATACCAAAAAATCACTAGAAAGTTACCATGGCCAGTATTTAAAGGATCAGATGAAATCTGGATCTTCAGAGGAGGATCTCATGTCTACTGTGTCTCATGACAGGCTCATGAAGGGTGAATGTTTAAGTAGTAGCCCCCTGCCCTCCTCATTCAACACAATTTTCTGAAACTCAGTGTCTGTACATGTACACTGAGGATACAAAAGTGGAGGACAACAAATGGTTGTGGCTTAGATGAGGTGTCTGTCCATGTTTGTATTCCACTTGGTTACAGAATATGATTCACTTCAAAGTGGAACTTAAACTGTCTGGTTAACAGCTCCCAGCAGCAATTACACCATCCTGGCAAGGCCAAAGCAGACACAATCATGCTGCTTACCCATTTTTACCCAGCCCTCAAGGAGGGATGGGGTCCAGAGCTCTGTACACTCCAGCACTCTCCACAGCTGGTTCTCCTCCTTGTGCTCCAGCCGTTGTGCACAGTGTATGATCTGGACTATCACTGATGAACTGGTCATGGGAGATCCTATCAAAGCAGAAGTGGAAGAGCAAAAGCAGAGATTCAAATCTGGATATTCAAGGTCACCCTCATACACACAGCTGTTTAGCAAGTGTGACAGTACTTGACAGCAATTCCGTTTTTAAGAAGGCTGGCATTAGAATTTTAGGCACTGTCACTTTTGCTAAACAGATCTGTTTGCAATGAGGAGCTAAGACAAGGAGATCAGTTACAGCAGTTGTTTTCTTTTCCCTGTATTCTGAAAAATACATGTTATTCCTTTTGCCCTATATCCTAGGCAGAGGCAGACAGTGGAACAGCAGAGCTCAAGTGCCATTTGGAACATAAAATACTCGATTGTACAGAGAAGGACATTAATCTCCTGTCTGAAAAATACAAGAGATGAACAGCCAATATTAATCTACACTGGTCCATTTAAATTACAAAGCATAAACAATTTTTTGAATGTAAGGGCTTTCAACTGCTTCAGATTATACACAAGAAAAAATTCCAGACCCTCAGAGACTCAGTATATTGCATTTATCCTAGTTAATTTAGCCATAAAATCCAAGGTAGATATCAGTGCAATGATTCATGTGATCTGTTATTGCTGGATAGGATCATCCACTGCAGAGACCTGACACTGCCATTCTTTTTATGTACATCTAATCAGCACAGCTGAGCTCTGGGCTGTCAGGTTAGAGTGCTGAAGGTACTTAAGCTATCTGGGTTAAATATAGTTCAGTTATCTCTAAACTACACAGCAAACACTGCAAACATATCCAAAGAACCCCAATATTGTCTTATTATTTTTGTTCTTGACCCAATCTATTGCTGGAAGCAAATTATCTAATTCCCTTCTAATCACAAAGCTTCATAATTTCCTGCCTGCTCTTTTCTTCATTCCAAAAAGATTAGGAAGTCAGCCTTCCCAGACACAATACAGAGAACATAATTTTTAAAAGGCTTATTGAACATACAGAGTAAAACTTTAAATAGGGTCAGGAGTAAATGGTTTAAAACTGCATGTAGGACAAGAGGACCCCAAAAGAATGATCCCACTGACTTCACTGAATCTTCTGCATAAGCACTGAGCAGATCCTGTCCTGAACTCCTGTTATCTGCATGACTATATATGCAGAACTGAAAGACAGAGTATGATCTGTGCAGAATCAGGCATAGTGGGGAGGGAAATGGAGATAACAAAAGTATTTTCAGGCCCCCTCAGAAATTTCGCAATGCCATAAACCCAGTAATTGTAATGGATAGGTACATTTGCTGGTTAAAAGTTAACAAGCTAGAATGCCTTTCTAAATCACCATCTAGAAATGTTTTGAAAGAGAGGGATTGGATGGCCTACTCAGTATATTAAACAGGAGAAAAATCTGGCCAATAAGGCAGAGTCTGTAATGCCTCAAAGAGAGGGTCACACTATATGCATGAATAAAAGAGGCAGATTGTCCTTCCCTAAAAACACAGGATTGAATGGTAAGTTGAATTACCCTGAATAAGGTAGACTTGATTATATATGCATAATGCTGGAAAACTAAACACAAAGTTAATGACAAATAACAGTTCAGAGCTCTCTGGAAATACATTGTGAAAACCTAAGTATTATTTTCAAGAACAACAGAAAGGTAAGAGATTTTACTTTTCATAGCAAAACAATAATATGATAATAAGACAATGAAATGACAGAATCATTTTACTTGGTAGCAAATGTTTCATTGTCATCAAAGAATCAGAATTTCATTTAGTCACAGAGATGGAAACAAATATTTTCACTGACCTCAGTGACAGAGGATTTGTCTTTGCTCCTTCATGCCTGAAGATGAAACACTTCCTTACAACTTTAAAAGGCTGAAGGAAGGAGAATACTATGATAATAAATGTGTAATAATAATAATAACAATAACAATACAAAGCCAGTAGAAGTAAAATAAACTAAATAAATGTAATATGTTGCTGTGAGGCTTATACAACATCAAGCAGGAAAACTAACATAAATATGAGGAGTGACAAAGTGGAGTCTTAGCAGAGAGGTGACAGCAGAATATTACCTATAGCTGATGGAAGAAATAAGAAAATATGCTTTAGCTGTAACTCATACTGAAGATGGAAGATATCTGATTATCAGCTCTTCAAATTATAATTTGGATATGTGATTTTAGAGAAAATTTACGGTGCTAAGCTATAAATATTGATGTCGTATTTTATCTTTCTGTGCCAAAGGTCCAAGTCATTGAGAAATTTAAATTGAAAAATTCTTACCAGTTCATCTAGTCCAACCTCTTGCAAAAATATGGAATTTTAAAAGAATGTCTGCAATGGGCCTATTTATCCAGATTTTCAGGTCATATATTTGTTTATTAGATACATTTTGTTTCTAAAACTTTCTGCTTTTACAAATGCTTTCAAAGTTTCAATGTCTAAGCATGCTCTGGTTTTGAACAAGCTGGGCTCCTCCTGAATTATACAATCTATACAGTCTCTACAATCACATTCCCTAATCTCCTTAGAAATATGTTTCAAGACAAATGATTGCCATCATTTCAATAGCTCATTTCAGAGCTTTCTAAGCCATACTTTAAATTGCTGCAAAGGTACTTAACCCACAAAAGGCCTTAAATATTCATACCCTTTCTTCTCTTGGAGTTTTTGTTTGCTTCTGTATTTTCATTGAGGAGAACTGTGTGGGAAAGGGGAGGTGAGAAGCAGATTATACAGCTGGGTGTTCACCTCTCCACGGACTGCCACTCAGGGGGACCCAGACAGGCCAGAGGAATGGGCCAGCAGGAATCTCATGACATTCAACAAGGACAAATGCAAATCCTGTACCTCAAACAGATTTTAACATTGGCACCATACAGGGAGCAACCCTCCTGGAAGGGACTGGGGGAGCAGGCTACAGAGGAGTGAGCCCCACACTATCCATGTGTTAACAGAATGATCATGTTCCAAGCTTGTGTACATGGATTCTCACCATGCCACCCTGCTCTTTTGTGGGTTTTCATAAAACAGATTGAAACAAGAGGTGTTCTTGGCCCATTTACAGCTCAGGCCTTTACCTCCTCTGGAGCTTGTACCAAAATACTGCTGGTTTGGTTAGAGGGTCAACTGCATCCATCACAGATGGAACATCTCCACAAGCTCTGTGTTGGCTTCAACTATGTTTTTACTCAAGTCACAGGATGACAGTCTCAGGGATACATGGTGAGAGCTTGTGGTGGAAAACTTATCTAACCGTGCAAGATAATAGAAATAGTTTATTTGTATCTTTTATAGCAGTGAACCTGCAGCCAACATCAGGAAGACTGCTTAGAGATTCAAGAGAAAATTCCCAGCCCTTCATTATTTGAGAAGCAAAGGTCTGATATGCAACAGCACTAAACCTTTGCTGTATCTGCAACTGTGTGGCTGCAGCCACAGAAGAGTCAGGGATCAGTGACCTAAGTCTGTGGCACCCCTGAAGATGTCAATGAACAACGCTCCAAATGTTTTCTTGGATCCAAACGCAAACCGCTTTCAAGTTAACATCATTAATGAAGACCATGACAACACTGAAACAGCCCAAGAGGATGTGGGCTCTGACCCACCACATTATGAAGAAACGTCTTTTACTGATGAAACACATAACAGACTAAGAATCAGTTACAGACCAGGAAAACGAGAATTATACGACAATTTCCGTCAAAACGGGGAGAAAACAGAAGCTAGCTTACACCCCTATGATACTCACAGTAAAATGTATTATCTACAAACTTTTGGCCATAACACAATGGACCCAGTTCCCAAAATTGATTATTATAGAAACACTGGCAGCGTCAGTGGGAATAAGCTCAACAGACCAAGCTTATTAGAAATTCATGAACAACTGGCAAAGGTAAGTGAAAAGGAAAGACATAATTTTTCTTTATTCCATTTCCAGACTGTTAATTCTGTTTATTAATAAGAGAAAGTCCTTAAATTCATGGACCTTGCCCAAGAGAAGAAGTGCAAGTAACTACTTACCATATTTCCTTTGCTAGCTGCAGTTTGTTCTTTGCTCTGCACCCTGCTCAAAGAAAAAAATTTTATTAAAAGGTATTTGTAATTCTACTTGATAAGTAGAAACACATAGCTTAATCTTGTCTCAAAGTATGGATCTCCCAAATCTCTTCTGTTTCACATAAGAGTTAGGATGGCAGATGGTGAATGTCAATTCATACTTTAACCAAGCTACACAATTCACACTTATTCTGAACTTGAATTTTACATCAATGCATATTAATTTTGACAGATTCCTCCATTTTACTCATTAACCAATATAAGCATTGTAAAAAAAATTATGTGAAACAAATGCAATTTCAGTGAATCAGATATCCAAAGCACTACCTGCTTGTTGCTGTGACAAATCCAAACAGTAAGAAGGAATCAAGAACAAAGGTGTTGAGGGATAGCAGACAACACTTCAGTGAAAAAATTTGAGGTTAATATGCACTTATCAGGGCAGGGCTGGAAACAGAAATATCATTGCTATAGTTAAACTGAGACTAAAAGTGTCAATATGCAGCAAAACCTCCTGTTCTTTTTTTTGAGTTAGACAATTGTGAAATGAGAAAACTTGAGCAAAAACAAGCTCTCATCCCCATTCTGCTCAGTTCTTCATACTTTTGAGGTCTGAATACTGGTTTTTGAATGCTTGCCCAGATCTTGTTCAGACTTCTGTTCTCTGGCAATTTCTCTTTCCTATGGAGGTTAATATAAAGTAATGAAATCAAGAAAAAATATAGACATTAGTAAATTAGGATCTGATTCTTTAGGATCTTATTAGGGCAGTTTCCTAGTTTTGGCCTGACTTACTCAAATTAAGCTGTCCATAGACCTGTGTCAAATGGCTTAAAAGGACAAACATTTCCAAAGATGAAAACAAAGCAGATACAAAAAGGGGAACATACCAATTTAGTATGCCTACTCATTTGCAGATGTACAAACTGCTACTGAAAGGAGTAAACACATTTCCATGCTCAGAAGAAATATCCTCTTATAGAAATAATTTACTTCAGTAGTGGCCAGATAGGAGTAAAATTGTATATTGGCTTTGAACATAATGCTGAATGAACATGTACTGAACATCAGCACATTAAAGGATTTTCAGTTTTGATGGTAACCAGAAAATTCTGGGGGTTTTACTGTTGTATCTCTCAATAGTTTATATATTTTAAATAAAAGATAATTTTTTAGGGTTTTTTTAAGGCTTCCTCTTAGAGATGATTAAAAAGAAGGCAGATCACACCACAAAGTAAAATGAAGAGATAATTGTTTCATGTGTTGAGACTGTTAGAAAAAAAGAGAAAAAAGCATAACCTAACTTAGAGATTTCCAGACTTTTTCCAGTATCCAGTATGCATCTTACAGAAAGATAATCTTATGTCTTTCAAAACAGGAAGGTGAATGTCATAGGTAATGGGATTTTTGTTACACTGGCAACCTGCTGTGCCCTTTTGTGGGTTGTGGCCCAGGTCTGGGAGCACAAGCACAGCTCTGGAACAAACGATGCCCCATTAGCATGGCTGGAGCCCATTCCTGCCTGTCCCATGATCTCCCTTGGTGACCTTGGACAAATCACTTCTGTCTGCTGAGCTTTTGCTGAGGAATAAACAAGCACGAGGTCACCAACCAGGAGCTCAGTAGGAAGGGGAATTGAGCTGTGTGGGAAGGCAGAGCCCCTCTCAGGAGGCACAGGCTGTGCAGGCTCCGGTGGGGCTCCAGCCCCGGCAGGGAGGGAGGGGGTGCCACACTGAGCGTGGACAGGAGCCACAGTGACAGCCCAAGCTGCACTCCTGAAGCAGATCCTTTATTCCTTTTTTACTTAACCACTAAAGTCTGGGTTTACCACACCATACCCCAAGGCAATCCCACCCCCCTTGCCCCCGATTTGGAACTCAAGTTTTTGAAGACAACTGTTCTGTCAGAGCCTGTTGTGAGATTCTGATAAGAAGTGGCATATGTTTGACTTCAGATTGCTAAACATCACATAAGCATTCCCATTGTGCTTTGATGCTGGGCTTAACATCAGAAGATAAATATTAATATTTAATACATTTTTTAATATGTAATTTTTCAAATGTCAGAACGTAAGACAGGCTGAAAGGAACTTCAAATATCTAGTTTCCACACTGCTGGAGTCAAATGTGTGTCATCTTTTAGCAAGATGTGTCAGTTTTTGCACACATTAAGCCAATTAAATTCCTAAAAAATAGTCTAAGTTCTATTTCACAGCTGATGGCTGGTGATAATTACTTGGGCTTAATATTTACCCTACATAAAAAATAATCTAACCTTTCTTCCTCTTGGCTATTCTCCACACTTGTTATGGAGATTTGATGAGCTCATCATCTTTAGCCCCAGGAGAGATGAAGACTAAGCCATTCTGAAACAAGGAAAGGAAAATGTTTGGGTTAGGGTTTTTTGGGGGGATTTTTAAAGCAGAAAACTTTTTATTTTAGTAGCTTTTCAAAATGTTCTGTCACTTTTATTCCACATCCTTAATGCATGAGTAGCACAGGTACAGCTGCTTGGTAAATAACCAATCATTCACTAAAGCACACCAATTTAAAATGCATTTATGGAAGGTTTAAGGCCATAATTTATGATAATGGCACAGAGAGCACAAATTAATTCAAACTACAGAGGAAACAACTTGTTTCAAGTACAAAGACCAAGCCCTTTTAATTTTTTGTCTTTGAAATTCTAATCGCTGTAGCAAAAGCCTGTCATATTATTCTGCTAATCTTCCTTCATTGACTTCAATCATTTACTGTATTTTGAGCAAACACAGACATTATTATTTCAGAGTAAGAATTGTCAAAATTATCTAAGTATCTCAAAGGAGCTCAAAGTCACAGGCTTCCAACAGATCTTGTATTCCCACTCTTTGGGCCAGAAGGGCAATAGACACCAAGCTTAGCCCATGTCAAAACATATTATCCAGTCACTTATTTTTCATTTGTGAGCACAGTCTGGGATTTACTGTGTCAAAGGCATTCTAAAACCTTATATCATTTTGGCTAGAGCCTCCCTCCTTGAGAGCCAGCTCCAGACATATAAAAGACCAGCTGTATAAGAGGTATATACAGCTGGTCTTTATGTCTGTTTTGGGTTTGTGTGTTGGCTATTTTTAAATTTATGGACAAAATATAGAAACCAAGAAACCAATGTTAACCAAGACTTAAAATCTCATGTTTCACAGAATCACAAATATCTTTCCTCCCTGACCTGCTAAGTTAATCTGAAAATCTCTTCATCACCTATCAAAGCCCTAAAAGCATCTTGATTCCTCTCCAGGAGTGGTACCCGCTCCTGACTCTCTGCCAGACTACGGCAACGGGCAGGGTCCTTCCTGAAGGCCTTTGAGGAGGACTCACAAAAATCAGGCAATTGATAACCTAATGCCAATTTCTCACAGAAACAGTGTGAGCTCTGAATAAAAAAAATCAAATTAAATTAAAAGACAATTACAATAAGTACAAATCTCAGCACCATGACCAATTCCTATTCAAGCTACAAGAAATATATATAATATATCAAAGATTCTGGGGCAAGAGAACTGAAGAGATAAAATTCACATTTATATCTGTAACAGATGTGAACAATCTAAAATTCTGGGCTCCTCACTCTTGTTGCACCATAAATATGGCATTTCCTAATCCTATCTACTATGGTTACACCAGTTGTGGCTAAGCCACAGAAAAGATTATTAAATTTCTACATTTCACTGGCATTTCTCTAGTTGTTTCCAGGAACATGTTACCCATGTGCTGCTGCAGTCATGTTTGTACTTCATTCAGTAGGAAACACTAGATTTCATCACACAACTTAGCCAAGCTGCACTCAGTTAGGTCTCTTTTCACTGTTTGCAATTATCCCCATTTCTACACTTAGCATTATCCTACACTGGTGCTAGAGCATGCAGAGGCCAACCAAAAGACCCTCATTATGTCAGACACTCTACAAACATGCCAACACAACATATATGTGGAATAGCTTACAATAAAAACAGGTCAGTATCAGATCAGGTAATATTGTATTTACTCTGCTTAAGTGATTCTTTCATCTCCTCCCCTTGTCAGCAAGCCCACCTGCTGATGCCTGGTGTGAGCAGAATATTGCTCTCTACTCCAGTGACTGTAAAATGGGATCTTTGGAATTCTTTTCTATCATGCCTTCCTCTGCCTGGCCCAGAGATGTATTTGTTTTCTGTGTGATCCCTCAGAACATTGCTGTGAGCACCGGCTCCGTGGAGAGAGTAGCAAATGGAGAAAGCAGTGCTGGAGATGAGACAGCAGCCAGCAAGGAAGAAGAAAACAAAACAGGATTTGTCAAGTTCGGCTGGGTGAAGGGTGTGCTGGTGAGAAACTTACCTGCATTTCTAAAAAAAATAAAATTAAAATAAAATCAGTTGTGTTACACTTAAATCATTGAAGAATTAAGAGAGGGAGGCAGACTTCAGGGATGTTTGGGGTGAAATGCACTTTATCACCCTTCTGGTTTTAAACATTACTTTCAACCTTGAACTAATGCAGTAATTTTTCTTTAAAACCTAGGTAAGATGCATGCTTAATATTTGGGGTGTGATGCTCTTTATTCGACTTTCCTGGATTGTAGGTCAAGCAGGAATTGGTATGTATCTTATTTAATATCATTTTCAACAGTGAAAGGGATAAAGAGGATAAACTATACATGATCATGATTAATATATAATCTGAGATGTGCATTTGCATGTTGAACTAAATAATGTTTTCAAATGCTTGCCAGGGTAAAAGACATTAATCCTCCAAACTATTGGAATTTTCCAGACTCACAGCCAAATTACTGCTTAGAGGCATAGATCTGTTAACTATGCATATGATCATCACATTTGAATATTTCTGAGCTTTAGTGAAATTTGTATTTAGATCCTGTAACAGATGTAAACTTTATGACTCGGGCCAATTTCTAATATGTGCGTACAGAGTTAACCTTTAAGAGTTCACACTTTGCTTATCTGTGAAACCCAAACCTTGTCATCTACATACTATAAACAACACTTCTTCACACTTCTCTGCCAAGATGAAAACAGAACTGGAAGGAGGTCTCATCTCATCAGGATTTTGTTATTTTTAACTACAGAACAGCACTTGATACTAGTGTACTATGAAAGACTAAGTTTTAAAAACTCTGCTACAGCTTTTATATAAATGAAATAAGCACATTTCATTGTGTGCTGTATCTTTGCTTCTTCATTGTGCAATTTGATTAATGCAAATTCCAGATCCCTGGGAGACTGGGCCCCAAGGCCTCCATCCAATACACTGCAGAGTGTTCAGTGAAACCAGTGAGAGAGGGAAGAGCTCCCAGCAGTGCAAGAGGAGCTCAGCAAGGTGCAGTGTCCCAGAGCTGGGTGCTACAACTCCCCCTTCAGAGCTACTGCTCTGGGGAAGCACAGAAACCTGAGCTGCCATGGCAGGGTCCCTCTGTGAGCCTGATCACACAATTAGAGCAATGGGACTCTGATCTTTGACTGGCATCGAGATGTTTTAGAAAACAGCAAAGGCAGGACAGCAAATAGTCCAGTCTGGATAATCACAGAATGGAAATATTCAGTTGTATTAAGGGGTGTCAGCTCTGCTGGACTTGGATAAAAGTCACTGCTCAAAGTCAGATTGACTATACTATCATTTATGTCCTTGTCAATGGAAGTGAAATGAAACCTCTCCAAAACTTTGCATGGTTGAAGTCTCATTTCCAATAAAAAGCAGTAACTTCATAGAAGTTTCACTTGAGCAAGACTGAGCTTTTAATAAAAAAATAACAATGAAACACTTAAGAAAAAAATCACAAACTTACAGAGACACAAATAGGAAAAGAAAAAACAACCCAGCAATAAAAGATCCAGAACTAAGCGGAAGAACTTTACTACTTTTGCCGTGCTCCATGCCTGGCTCCAGCACCGTGCCTGACAAAAGGGTGCTTTCTGATTTTATGATGCATACCAAATGAGCACATACAGCCCAGGGCACTCATAACTATATGCCTTGCCATGAAAATTCTGCATCTTAATATTGCCAAGACTTTGCTCTAGGGTTTCATGCAAAATTAGTTTTTAAGGGCAGTTTAGTAACTTATTGAGATCATCAAGAAGTATTACTTTGTTTTGAGGTGTGAGAATAGCCATGGGCAAGAGTAATTCATTTTGGAACAACTTACTTAGGAGCCATATGCCTGGATTTCAATCTAAACTTTAATCAGATTTTAACATTAATTTGCACCAACATCAGTTACAACTTTCCTGTTTTCATTTTTAATTTTACCACTTTAACTCATTGATAAGCAGGCTCTTCTTTCTTACAGTTTATTGCTCTGCTGTTGCTTTTTTAAATTGCATGTGTTATGCAAGGGGGTTACTTTTACTTTTGAAAATGAGATGTCAAATTCCATTTGAATAATTTCTCAGTGCATTTTTGGAATGCCTTAAAAGCAATAAGCTTTAAGTCCCCAGCCAAGCTGCTTAAGGAGAACAGTGATGGAAGCTCATCATCACCAAGGCTCAGGGATTTCACCGGGTACTGCTACTAACATGGAAATTAAATGAGACAGTTAAACCACCATCTGGGCACCATTTACATCCCCATCATTAGAGGGCCAAAGAGAGACAACCCAATTATTTTCATACCCTGATAGGCTGTCTTGGGCAAAAGCTCTTACAGGGGAAAAAATAGGATTCTGCAAGGTTCTCTGGCTATCATCAGCTAGGGAAAAAAAAAAAAAAAGGGACAGAATTGTTCTGACAAGATTCCAGGTCCAAAACTAGTCTGCTATTTCCACCTAATACCTGAGGACTCTCTGAAATCTGTATTTGTACCTGGACATGGAATGGTTAGACAAAGGCAGGGAAAACCAAGTTTATGCTACCTGCAAATATGGCACCAAATATTAGAATTATGTTACATTACATTATATAACAATGATGCTTTGGTTGAGTCACTTCATTTTATGCACTTTTCTTCTTAAATGATAAAATATTTTTTAAAAAATTATCATTAAAGCCTTCCCAAGAAGATGTTACTATCAGATTAGCAAAATATCTGACCCTACAATATCACGCACATGATAAAAATATGAATTGTGAAATGCAATAAAACACCCTTGAAAAGTATCCTTAGGATGCACACAGCAAATAATTTTAAAACTGCTTTGAGAATTATGTGTCTAACTTACTCAATTTAAGAGTTAACAGCTCTTAAAGTCAGTCCCCTTCTCAGACACAAAATTTGCATGGTTGAACAATATCCTTCATAGCACATCCTGCTCAATGGCAGCTGACCAAAAGGAATGACCATTTGGAATTTTTTATACAGACCTGCACATAAAACACTTTCATGACTAGCTATAGTAAGAGCTCAGAAATCAGTAGGATCAACATGATTTATTACAGGCTCAAATCACTTTAAATATGCTACACTATGTTATATATCATTTATAGCTCACACATTACATTGCTTTATCTTAAAGGATTGTGATAACATGGCTGTAATTTAAGCAGCAAAGAACATTAATTCAGGGACTGGATGTCTATAACCATCCAGTATGAACAGAACTCAGGAATCTGATCTGTAATTCAGATGGTAGAAATACAGCAGATAAATCAGTAAATTTGCAGCACTCCTAGCTCAATGTCAATTGTAGGATCTAAGTTTCAATTTGGATGAGCCCTGGCCAATAAATACAGCTACAAGCAATGTATATTTCCCAGTTCCACAGTGAATGCCTATGTACCCTATGGAAACAAGACAGTTATTGCATAAGCCTCAGCAAGTTCAGGTAAAACTAAGAACTGTTTCCACGCTTGGTACCAAACTGTAATTATTTACTTTTTTCTCCTGGTTTTCTCCCTCTCTTCTCATAGACAGAAGTGAGAATAAAAGCAATAAAGTTGAGAGAAAAACATTATATTATTTCTTCACCTGACTTGAAACAAAAAGGAGATCTGGAACTACAGAGACATACTCCTCTAGGTAGTGCCAGAAATGTAACAGCAAAGGCTGCAATTGTACCTTGGGAGGTGCAGTTTGTACAGGTTTTATTGGGCAGGTAGTCTAGCCCCAGAACATGTAATTCAAAGAGGATCTTTTGTGGGATCTTTATCCATGTGGTTGTCAAGAGCCAGCTAGCCAAGGTCATCACTGATTTCATCCTGTGTTGGCAACAGTTCTGCTATGACTGGGAGGCTGAGCTGCAGACCTCCTGAAATCACTTCCAGCCAAACCTTCTATGATTCTAAATCACACAAAGCACATCTGCTCATATGGTTTCTAGCAGTTTTACAAAGTTTAAAGAAACCCAGCCATATAGGCAAAAACTGGAAACATTATCAGATTCCAGTCTTACTCTGAAACCCAGTTACCTATAACTAATCATCTATCACTGATATTTTGATATTTGATTATCACTGTGTTATCAGCTAAAAAAAATTATATTCTAAATTCTTTATGAGTATACATTACAGGTCACCTGTTAAAGTAAATGGCATCTAAAAAGCAGTATTTCCATTTTCAAGTGTTTGTTTTGTGTTAGAGTAAAACTACTTTTTGCAGAGAAAGAGGCAGAAAGCAGAGAGTGAGAAAGCCCAGCATTTGATACCTTAGCAAATGAGGATGTAAAAGGCTCCCACTCAGGTCTTGTCCCTCTGCCTGACAGACTCTTTGTTCTCATGCACTGTGAACTTAAAGTCAGTCTTCCTCTGATTCAACATTTCATTAACTGATGAAAGACAACAGCATTGTCACAAACATTGTCACAAAAGTTCATGTGCCTCTCTCAATTTTAAACAGCCAGGATGTGTGTTAAAGGTAGATATAAGCATCCATGACAAGGGATGCCTGTTTGTTTGTTTCCTCCATCCTTTGGAAATGATAAGAATTCCTGGACAGAGTACTCCTATCAGAAAGAACCACTGCTTGAAGACTGATGGGAATAATTTACTATGGTGACACAGACTTCATGAAAATGTTCTGCAAGCTGCAAGTGGTCCACAAACCATCTTTTCAGTTTACTGCTGTGATTCTGGCCTGAAAATTCAATTTAAAGAAAGAATGATTTGTAGGAAACATGGAACATGAGTAAAATATTTTATCTTCTTATTACTGACAGGTCTTGGAGTAATCATAATTCTTCTGGCCACGATGGTAACCTCAATTACTGGGTTGTCAACTTCTGCAATAGCAACTAATGGGTTTGTCCGTGGAGGTAAAAATCTTAGGGTTACTAATGCTTTCAAGCCCCAGAAGGTATTTATGTATTATTTTTGTGTGAGACAAACCAGAGGGACCATAAACCAAAGGGCACAGCTAGTGGAACTGGAAGGTAACAATTCTAGCCACCTCTCATCACAATTTCAGGTGTATTTCAGCTGTCATTTCTAATAAAGCACAGCTTTCAGTTCAGTCTGAAAAGTACATTTCAGATGTTCCTGCCAACTGCTGAGCAAGGGATGGTTCTGGCTTTTCATGGAGTTCTTTCACCTTTCAGCCGGTCGTTCCTATTCAGAGCATTCCAGGTTGGACACTCTTCAACAAACGGAGCATGTGACATCTCTTCCTGTCATTTTGAAGACCGATGCAGATCAGTGGATATCTTCAGTTTAATGCCTTCTTTATAACCCTCCTTACATTTCAGCCCCTCCTTGGAAGACGGGTAAATAATTCAGCTGTAGAAGTCCATGTCAGGTAATTTGTGAAACAAAGTTTTGGTGCATTTCAGAGCCTTTAAGTTTTAACTGGTCTGGTCTAAGCCCTGGGGAAAATGGAAAGTTCTTGCTACATCCCTAAAGGAGAACAGGTACTGGAATACACTTGCATGTACTTTCTTTTTCGGATCTTTCAGGTCTTGGAATCATAGTTATTGCTCTGAGTGTAGTAGTAACAACATTGACAGGTATCTCCATGTCTGCCATTTGCACTAATGGAGTAGTAAGAGGAGGTAAGTGAATATGATCTCATGAATATGATCTTCTCTGCAGATTTGAATTAGAAGAATAAATGGAATTGAGATAACTGTTATAAGCAAAGAAAAAATATGTATATTTGCAGTGATTTCTCCCAGTGAATCAACAGCAAATAGAAATGGGTATAGAATTAATGCAAAAAACATTAAAGATTCACTGCATCACTATGATGCAGGAACTTAAACAATGTACCACAAAATGTGACATTCCATGTTAACATTGGGACAGACCCATGCAAGTTAGAACTTAGTTAAAAGTTAGTTAACTTCACTTTTTAGAAGTGAAGTTCTCTCTCCTTTATGTTACTATATCATGCATCATGAAAAATTATAACAAGGTCCAGTTTTGCATGCTAATATGCACTAAAAAGACTTCTGGAATAGAAAAGCATACTGAAAAGCCTGAAGGCAGAACCAGTATAAAGAACATTGCTTTTCTGCAGTGTCCCCTATTAACACAGGGCAAAGACTGATTATATTTGTGAGAGAAAAGGCACAGATTTCTCCAGAAACAGTTATGTGAGGGGAAAAAAGCACAAAATCTGAGTGTTTAGTTGTGCTGAAATAACAATTATTTCTGTCTGCAGGTGGAGCATACTATCTTATCTCAAGAAGTCTGGGCCCAGAGTTTGGTGGATCTATCGGCCTTATCTTTGCGTTTGCAAATGCAGTGGCAGTTGCCATGTATGTAGTTGGATTTGCTGAAACTGTTGTGGAACTTCTTAAGGTAAATACAGATGTTTCATGTATATGATTAAATTGGCTTAGTTTTGTTTTGTGTGGCTTTTTTTTTTTTTTTTTTTGGGAGGGTGGTGATGGTGGTGTTTGTTTTACATAATGTATTTGTGTAAGTGGTGATATGTTTTAGTTAAGGCTTGAGGGGGATCTTTAGCAGGGAAGAAGCTGGTCTGCCTAAATGTGCCACAGAGTGCTGCTTCATTATTTCTACCTTTTGAATATATTTCATACATTACTTGACAAGAATCTCAAAATCAGAATAGGAACAGACATCCCATTAGCCAAATAACCCCAACTGCAAAAAGTCAGTTGGAACATGACATACCAACTTGGTCTCACAAAGCTCTGAAACTCTGACAGCTCACTGCTTTCTACTTCACCTTGTCACTTGGTCCCACCAGCTGGGCAGAGAGACTGGTTCTCATAACATTTCTAACCACTTTCAGGAGAGTGATACACTGATGGTAGACGAGTCCAACGACATCAGAATCATAGGGACCATCACTGTGGTGTGTCTTCTTGGCATCTCTGTTGCTGGCATGGAATGGGAAGCAAAGGTAATCTTTTAAAAGAATATAAAAGCAAGCAGTATATTAACCTGCTGTACACCATTAGTGTGTGAGGAATGTTATTCAACAGATGGAATTTTCAAAAGCACTCAATTTCAGTTTATGCTTAATCTTTCTAAAAGCAACAGCAGTTTAATCATTACATTCAATGAAAGTACAATGACTCTAAACTCTTCCTTGAACAAACATTTAAAAGCACAGAGGAAGTTTGGGTTTTGCAGACAACTTGGTTATATTCATTTTTATTATTCATGGCATCATTTAGAGTCTTGGCTATCTGCCCCTTTTGTCCTTATTTTTGATGCAGCTTGATAGAATAAACAGTAGCAAAACCAATATATGGTTTTATCACTGTACTCTCTCAAGCCCTACTCAGCAGAAGAGCTCTATTTGTTACCCATTCTTTAATCTCTAAGATTTCTGCTATTCCTTCACCTGTGAAAAAGGTCAGAATGCAAATTCAAATGGAAATACTTGAGAGTGGAATAACAGCTATTGAAATCTGGTCCAGAAATCAGGTTCAACAGTACCCTTGTTTTTGCTGTGATGGAGACTAGAATAACTTGTAAAAGAGATCAGAAAACAATTTGATATTATAAGTTTTGAAGTGACAACCCCCTGCAACTAAGAAAAAATTATAACAATATAAAAGCATCTTATACTTGATACTAATGCATTAGCTGTTCCATTTTGCCTTTTGTTGTAAGGAAGTTAACTTAAATTTAAATTATAACTCTGTATTTCATTACCCCCTTAGTAAAAAGCATCTGCTGTTGTCACTAGCTGATTCAGCTGTCTTGACTCCTGGTATTTTCAAAAACTATAGAAATGAATAACCTGTTATAGGGAACAGATACAGATAACTTACTATATAGCCATCTCCACAGCAACAAAGTTAAAAACTACAGGAGAATCTCTTTGTTTCTATTAATAGGCTCAAGTTATTCTTCTTATTGTTCTCCTTGTTGCCATTGTAAATTTCTTTATTGGCACAGTCATTCCTACCAACACTGAAAAGAAGGCAAGAGGCTTTTTTAATTACCAAGGTAAGCAAAAATTATGTCATAAAATTATGTTTGCATTCTTTTGACTTAATAAATTGCTAAGGATTCCATTGAAAAATGTCACAAGATCAGAATCTTCTGCCCAAGTTTAAGTGAGCTTGCAAACACAGAGAATGGATTTCATCTCTAATTTTCAGTCTGTCTCTGCTGCTGCAGCTGACAGCACAGAAAGATGCAGCTTGAGTCATTTATACAGCAGTAGAGCACAGACAAACTTTAACACAGAGCTAAGAGCAAGTGCTGCAGTGACATTTGTGTCACTTCAGCATGGATCTGTAGCTCTGAGATGCAGACAAGCACATCCCTTCTGAGGAGCAGACTAAGGAAATCAAATTCACTTTGTTTGTAATGTGATGTGAGACAGATTCAAACCCAGTTGTCCAGATGTGAATGACTGACTTACTTACCTCCTTCATTAAGTAACTTTGGAATCAAATCCTGTTGTTATATTTCATTCTCATTATATTTGCAGCATCAATATTTGCAGAAAACTTTGGACCAGATTTCAGAAGTGGAGAAGGATTTTTTTCGGTGTTTGCCATATTTTTCCCAGCTGCCACTGGCATTCTTGCAGGAGCCAACATCTCAGGAGATCTGAAAGTATGTATTTCATGAACTTCATCATACTAGCCACAGTTTGGAAAAATAACAAGAAAACCAATCATGAATCAACACTCTATTCAGTTTTAAATAATGTCTTTGCTTTCCAAATTAAGCTCTCTCTTTTAAGTATCTCCTCTATTATTTAAAAACATAAATTCACAAATTCTCTTGTAATGCATTATGGGTATTTCAAGAAATTACTGTAGCTAGATTTGGGTTGCTATATATTTTAAAAACATGTTTCAATAACCTGTAATAATATATCATTAATGGTTCATTAGCAGCATATGCTATAAGAGAAATTACATGTGTATCTCTTGGAGCTCATCTTCTGTAAACATCAGCCCAAAAAGCATCCCTGGAAAGCCCATGTTTGTACTCACAAGAATCAGTGAAGACCAGCTTTTCATATTCAGGGTCATAGCAAGGGCAGAGCAAACAGAGCATTTAAAGAATGAGCAGCAATACTGACTTGGGATTGGGAGAAAGGAAAAGCTGCAAGATGCAGCTGTGACCAAAAATAGTCTGAAGAGACAGGTAAAGGAGGTCCAAGGGTGCCCAGTTGTCTTGCTGCGGCCAATCTGTCAGTTCCCCATTCTCCTCTTGTAGTTTACCAGTTATAGGAGATGGAATTTCTAGTATTTAAACATACAGGTAAATTAGAGACAGGAATTTAGTTTTGAGTGCTCTCTAGTTTTCATGACAAAAACACTCAGAAAACAATCAAAATAAATAAAGGGAAAAAAGTCACCAACAAGACTCACAGCTTGATAACCCCAGCATGTCAAATGAAGTTATTTGGCCTTATCCTATAAATCCATTGCCTTGCAAACCTTAAAGAATTCAACCAAAGCTCTTCTATTTCTGTACTGGTACAGCAATCACAAGTTCACCAGATCCTACCACCCCTGAGAGCCAATTCTCTTTCCTTTCCTCACCCTGAGCTGCATGCCTCAGCTCCTTTGTTTTCAGAGGACCGCTTTTCAAGCCAAGCACAGAGAAAATACGTAGGACCTGAGCCACTGATAGCGTCAATGAGATTCCATTTTTAATTAAAAAAGCAAAAACCATTGTACTTCTGCCCAGTGAGACTGCACCAGCCTCACACAATCTTCATCCTTTCATCAAACAAAAATAATTCTTTTGCCATATATGGTGCTCTGTCTGCACGGCAGACTCCCAAAGCAGCAGCACTTCTTTCATCAGCTGTTTGGAACAGTCTGAGCAGACCTAGGGAAGCAGCTCTCCCACTGGATCTCTGCAGCCGTTTCAGTCTCACAATAAGTGGACTCCTGTAACCAAGTCCTCCAGGCAGCAGATTCCCCACTGAGCATGTTTAGATGCATTAGACAAGTCTGATTAAATTAACCAGCCACTCCAGAATCTAAAATACAAGCTAAGGAGCGTTTAAAAGTGTAAAATTTACCAATCAAACTTTCTTTAGAATTTGCTGCAAGCACCTTTGTCCATGCTCCTGCAGCCACTACACACTCGAGTTATGTCCTACTCCAGAGCCTCCTTATAGGGACAGCTTCCTAGTGACTTCCTACTGACTTCAGTGGGCCTTAGCCCCTAAAGTTCTAACATCATAGTAAATATGAGTTGAAATTTTGAAAACATAAAAGTTGTTAAGTTGTAAGAACCTTTAACCTTAACATGTAATGTTACAGAGTTTAGGACAACCACAAGATTCCACAAAAACAATTACCTAAAACATGCACATCAGAACTGCATAAAGTCACCATGCTCTGAGTGCAAAGGCTCTTATGCAGCAGAAGTGACTCCACAAATATTTTCCCCCTCAATAAATCCTTACCTTATTTAAAAATTATATTAATTACTAATCCAGTTAGGTAATTCATGTATGCCTCACAATAAACTCCAAATTTGTATTTTGGTTTTTCACCCTGCAACAAGCATAGTTAAAAAGAGTCTGTGACTTCAAATGCATTCGACAAATCTTGGATTTAAAAACACCATGCTAAACCAACTTAAGGAGAAAATTAATAAAAAATTCTTCCTAGCATAAACAAACACCCTAAATTGTAAGGTTATCTAGCATTAAAAATCCCTTTAAAATGTACAGTGCAGATCTTGGGACTCTTACTTACAGTTGCATTATCAAGGCTGATGCTGTTGTGAGCCAGTCTGTAAGCATTGTAACCCAGGCTCATTAAATTATCTAAATTAAGTCAATACAGTGAAAGAAAGTAGCTGTTTTGAAGACCCAACTAACAATTACTGGTTACAAAGCACAGAAGTACTGTATTCTGTACAGGGTGACTCCATCTATCTTACCAATTAACCAAAAATGGTCCCATCTTGTCATCCACAAGGGTCTGATGGTTCAGTATTTACCCACTACATCATCAAACATTAAGATAAAGCCAATTTCAATGTGAAGAGTTTGGAGTTCAAGAAATGCAGACCTCAGGACACTTCTGTTGCTATAAATGTGAGCTCTGCTCCTGCAGAATGTCCTTCCTGTGTGCAGGGTAGGAGTGCTGTCCCACAGGAGCTCTGCTGTGCTGGGACCAGAAATGTGGCTCAGGTCAGAGTGATAAAAATCTGCTCTCTGGGGTATCTTCACCCCACACTGTGACAGAACTCCCAGCATGCAAATGCAGTCAGGCTGCAGCACACAACTCAGTATTTCTTGTGTCACTGCTTTGTTTAAGGACCCACAAAGTGCCATACCCCAGGGAACAATGCTGGCCATTCTGATCACCACAATTGCTTACATTGCTGTTGCAATATGTGCAGGTAAGTACAGAACCTCTGCTTCACTTCCATAGTTAAGTTTGAAATTTGGCATGCAAGTGAATGATTAGCCTCACTGCTTTTGCATGCCATGGATTTATTTTTTAGAGAGACAGTAGTTTTGATTTTACTGTATGTCACAACAACGGTTTTTTAAAAGGCAGCAATCAATGGAAACAAAAGTCCCCATGTGGCAGCTGGACCTTCAGGTAACTTGTAAGGTTATTTTTGCATAAGTGACAAAGACCACCAGCAAATAGCAACCATGAGCATAATAAAGATCAAAGGAACCTCTGATCTATCTGCTGATCTGTTCCTGGTTCACATTGAAATTTCACATGGCTTCTGCTTGTCTTCTTACTGAACAGTCATGAGAATCACAGGAACAGGGTTACACACACATTTTGTACATTATATGTCAAAGACAGAAATCAGTTGCCAGTCTCAGAGGAACTACACAACTACATGTTCTACAGTAGTGGGCTGTGAGGTAACAAAATGGGCATGAGTGAAAAGGAGGCCTGTACTGAAAGCTATGAAATGTGTTGGAGGATTATGCAGTTAAATTCTCACTACAAGCATACAAAAAAATCCCTGCCCAACACAAAATGTTGCTCTTTGGGATGAATTTAAGGCAGCAGCTGTACAACAAGTGTGCAGTTTAGGAGTCAAAGTGTGGCAAGAACATTCTTTCAATGTCACAGTAAAGCAAAATAACAATATATCATTTTTTCCACAGCCTCCTGTGTTGTAAGAGATGCTACTGGGAACGTCAATGATACAATTGTACCTGGAATGAGCTGCAATGGATCATCTGCCTGTGGCCTAGGCTATGATTTTTCCAGATGTGCAAGTCAGCCATGTGATTATGGGCTGATGAATAACTTTCAGGTTTTAGTGATAATATGGATTAGCTAATATACACATATATTAGCATAATAAGCAGTACATGAATACATAAGTACAAACATGCAAAACTGTTGTCTGCAGACAACTACAACAGGACAACCACTTTTATCTAAAAAAGTAAATTATAGGAATGATGAAAGACAAAAATCCCCTGCATTGCATGTTTACCTTCACACTGCCCACCACTAGCCTTCCTAACTCTCTGGTAAGGCCTTTATCTCCTCTTTTAACAAGTACTATGCAGCAGTATATGTTATAACAGCTTCAAACTGAAAGCCCAGGCTTAACAGAGATCTCAGGAACTCCTGTTAGATGAGGAATTCACCTTGCTGCTCTTGACACATGGATGTGATTTTACCTCAGGGGTGCTGTGGTCACAGTTAAAGGGTTGTGTCACAGCACAAAAACCAGAGTTCTGACTTCTTTTAAAAAAGTATCCAACAGCAGAGCAAAAAATCAAGTGAGAAGTAACGGAGTCTTTCTCCTAGGCCAGAAACTGTCTGCCATTTTTATTCTTCAAAATAAAGCTTAGGCTAAGCATCAAAGTAAAGCAGTTCTGCAGCCTGACAGCCACAGGTTCCAGATCTCTGTTCAGCCCCTGTGCTTCATGGCCAGTGAGAGGAATTCACCCCCCACATGCACAGGCTTTTCAACGAGTCATTTGTACCTTTTAAAGTCACTCGCTTTCTTCCCAGCTGGCTCTGCTGAATGACAGGGCTGGGGAACCACCTTGAAAGGGATTTGCTGTCCCTTTCATAGACTACTTTCCCTTCCTTCCTTGCTCGTTTACCATCCTTACTCCCACCTCAGTTCAGCTGCCCACACTCAGGGCACCCCTTAAAATCAGTAACCTCCCTACAGCCAGACAAATTTTCACTTCTTGCATTTACCCCTGCCAGACTAGAGCCATACAATGTTATGACTGCATCTGACAAATCTTAAGGATGCACTGGTTTCTTCTCTGAAGTACTGCCCACATACCACCAATCACATCCATCTATCTTTTAGTTTCCTTGTCTGGTGCCTATCGACAATCTTTTCCCTTCAGTAGGCCAGCCCAGCACTCCTGGGAGGGCTGAGGGAGGCCTGACAGTGACCATTATTACTGCAGCTTCATCAGGCATTTTCTCTCATTTTCAGCCATATTAAATAATCAAGGAAAAAAAAAAAACCCCACATAAAATAAAGTGCCTCCAACCACATTTCATACATTGGGGCTTTTTCCTGCCCTTTTCATTTTCTTGTCTGCTACAAGCTGACTATTTACTCATCAAGTAGAGGCTGTTACTTACAGCAGTCAGTTAGTAAAGGCAGTGAGGAAATCTCAGAGTACTCATCTGCCCCAGCAGACAGCTGCATATTTGAATAAGAATTTGGCTTTGCCTCCATTGCTTTCAACTAAACCCAAAATAATAGTACAGTTTGTGGCAGATTAAATTTAGAACCATGAAAAGTAGAGACACATAGAGCACTTGAATGGGTTTGTCATTAAAAAGTGCATCCAAATGCAAGCCTGCTCTTTTTACCTTCATTTTTTCCCCTAAAGGTGATGAGCATGGTGTCTGGCTTTGGTCCTCTCATCACAGCTGGCATCTTCTCAGCTACTTTGTCATCAGCTCTAGCATCTCTTGTCAGCGCACCCAAAGTTTTCCAGGTAAAATTAAAACATCCATTTCCTTATACTTGGTTTTACTTCAGAGACAAAGTTGAACTCTGTGTTCCAAATGTATATTTAAGCAACACTGACACATGTGGCAGGAAAAGGCAGGGAAAACAATATGTAGAATGTTTTTCAGCAGAAAAAGACAAGTCTTATCATCATACAAGGGAGATAATGTTCCTTTGGTCAGAGCTCAGCTTTGAGCCCTGCAGGAGCAGGGGATACTCATGTGCCTGTCATAAATAGCTCCAAGGGTACTTTCAGGACCACTTCTGTCTTCTTACAAAAAGCTGCCCTGTAAGCACAGGAGCAGCAGGAGCCCTCAGGTCCATAAGATTCAGGTGCTGTCAGGTGTGCCCTTAACAGGCAGCAGCAACGAGGACAGACTGGGATCAGAGGGCATGGGAGAGATAAGCTGTACAAATTACATCAAGCCACTGATTTATGCTTCAACTTCTCACAATTTAGACTGTATTTAGCTATTTAATTACCTTTTCATTTGAAGCACTGAATAAGCATTAAATGCCTGTGATTCTATTTCCTATGATATAATAACATAGTAGCACATTGTCTTATCACCTTATTTAAATGTTCATATGCCACAGCAGTTGATGAACTTGAAGCACTGAGATTTAACTTTTGTTTAGCGAAAGCCTGGAAAGCTGCCACTCACATGCAGTGACTTCTGGTGCAAGAAAGTGCTGCTTAATAGAGTTATGTGCTGATTTTCTTACCAGGCTCTTTGCAAGGACAACGTCTACAAAGGGCTAGAATTCTTTGCCAAAGGATACGGAAAAAACAACGAGCCTATCAGGGGATATGTCCTCACCTTTGCCATCGCCATGGCCTTCATTCTGATTGGTTTGTATC